GTTAATGGTGGTGGAACACTTTAGAAATGGACAGTGCTGACAGTTGTACAACATAATGAATGGAATCAATGTCACTGAATTGTACATATAAAAAACATTTAATTCACATATATATAGTAAGTATATATACATACATATTTTTTTACCACAATAACAAGACAACAGAAGCAAAAATGCCACGGTATGAATCCTGGGGTCTAGTGGAAAGATCACAGGTGTTAAGCAGGTCAGTTAATCACTTAATGGCTGTTCCTATGCCTTTCAAATAGTACGCCGCATGCTAAATTCCACTCAGGCCTGAAGTAATAATAGTTATGAAAAATATTTTTAGGTTTTAGAAAGTATGATACAAATCAAATGTGGTGACCAACTATTACATTTCTAACACACGGAGTTCACTGTATTATGTGTATGCTTCAACTGGCACAGTGATAAATGGTATACTAGGAATATCATTGAAGCCTTCGGTCTATTGTGGGTGACAGAGAACCTCCATCTTGTTTAATCTAGTGTTTAGCAAACAATGCAAGCCTTAATCAAGTTAGTCTTCTGTATCAGCCAATGGAAAATCAATTATTACACAATTCTATGCATTCAGTTATTTGTTTTTTAAAAAAGCTTAATTTGCTTTATTTGTTTTTTCAGGTTCCCATGCAATCTTTTATTCTATCCAAAGGATATATGTACATAGAGCCCAATAGCTTTGCAAGACTTGATATGAAAAAATAGCTGTTGACCCCCTAATCCTTCCCCCTTGACCCACTCCCCAGAGACAACCACTTTCTACTTTTCCAGCCATTTCTTTTAATTTTCACCTTTACAGTTCTAATTACATGCTTATATTGCTATTTGCCGAGTTTTCAGTGTTAGGGATCATCTACTTATTTCCTACAAAGGGAAGATGAGGATGTAGCTCTTTTCCCTTCTGCCTCCACCCCCCACCTACAGCACATCCCTCCGTCCTCCCAATATAGCTGTGTGGTGGTTTTTATTAGATCCATACCCAGTGTTTACATTATTATGCTTACATAACAACTATTCACAGATGAGCTATTTGTCTACATATATGTTTGTTTTTCTTTTCTTGCACAACTCAGTACATTCCCAAGAATTAAAAGACGGCTTTTGGTCAGGGCTTCGAATTGGTTCCGCCCAGTTCAAACCTCTGCTGAGAATTTGCATTTCTAACAAATTCCGAGGAAGTTATACGTAAGAATCACCTAGGGATCTTGTTAAAACACAGATTTTGATTCAGTATATCTGAGGTGGAAATGCAAATTCTCAGAAAGGATACAACCAGTTTAAAGTCCAGCTTTTGGTTTTGTTTGCCAAACAGCAGATTAAACAAGACAGAGGTTTCTCTCTCACCCACAAAAATCAAAGGAAGGCAGTTAAGGGCTGGCAGCTGTGCCTCACTGAAGCACAAGGACCTCCATAGGGATCTAAGCTCATCTTGGGCTTCAAGGTCCAAGATAGCTTGCAACTACATCCACATCCAAGTAGCAGAATTGAGGTAAGACTTTATTACTAACTCATCCCCAACTTTCCCAAATTACCCAAATCTCTTCTAATTATATTAAAACACACCAGGCCTACTACCGACCTCATCTTCTTGGACATCTCTCTCCTTGGGCCTTCTGATGTGCTCCAATCTGTGTATCTGATAAAGCTGTTTTCCTGGGATCTCCTTTCTCTATTATCCCAAGAATCCTCATCATCTCTCTCATGTTAAATCTTCATCTCAAGTCTTTGTACTTAGTTTATGCTCTTGTTTTGATAACGCATCTGTTCCAATAGCTCCCTGAGAAAATGTACATAGGAAGCGTATTTTCTAAGAAACCATATGTCTAAAAATGTCTTTATTCTGCCCTCACACTTGATTGACTGACTGATGCTTTGGCTACATACAGAATTCAAAGTTGGAAATATTTTTCCCTTAGAATGTTAAAGGAACTTAGAAGTCTCATATCCTTCTGATGCCTAATCATTCTGTATGCTGTTTCTTTTTTTCCCTCTCTGAAAGCTCTGTCTCTTTGGATCCATTTTTGGTGGGTGTCCATTTTCATCCATTATGTAGGCACCTGATGAGCCTTTTCACAGTCTCTTCAATCATCTCCATGATAAATGCCTCTGTTGTCTTTTTCTGGAGCTCCTGTTTGAACACTGGACCTCACAGATCGATCCTCTACATTCTTTTTTTCCCCTCATTTTTCTACCTTTGTCTTGTTGTTCTACTTGAGATTTCTTTAACTTTCCCTTTCACCTCTTTAACTTTTTTTTTTATATTTAAAAATTTTAAGCGTATTAAAATTTTTCTAAATATTTCTGGCATATGTGGAATATATCTTTTCCCATCTCTCTGAGGTTATCAGTCATAGTTATTATTTTTTTTTAAAGTCCATGTATGGTTTTTCTCCAACATATTATTTGTTTTCCTATTTGTTTTGTTCTAGATTTCGTATTAGGCTGGTGATTATTCTCTGCTAATATTTAAGAATAGAGCTCATAAAAAGTTGATCAGAAGCTCTGAGCACACAGGGTGGGGGATTAAAAATGGTGGCATTAATCACTATAGAATGATCTGTGATTGAGTTATTTCACTGGAAATAATCGGTGATAGTTAATTATCGTCTGGAGGGGATAAACCTGGTTTCCTAGTTATATAAGATGGATGGGGGGAGACAGATCTAAAAATTCAATATGAAGGCAGACCAAGTCTTATTTTCTTATTTTAAAGGTTCATGTACTGTATATATTTATTTTGGGACAAGCACAGTAAAAAGGAAGAAATGTTTTCAAGTAATTTTGATTTTGAAGACTATCTTTACGAGAGAAAGATGTGGCAGTCTGCTTCCGTAAAGATTATACCTTTGGAAACTCTATGCGGCAGTTCTACTCTGTCCTACAGGGTCACTATGGTCAGAATTGACTAGACAGCAACAGGTTTGTTTTAAGTTAAAAAGTGCCAACTACATTAAAAAAAAAAAAAAAAAGTAGTATTCTCAGTGTACACAGTGTTGTTTTAGGCAAATATAAAATTGTTATAAAGATGACAATTTTAAGAAACAAAATAATTGAAGCTGAAATGAGTGTGACAGGGCACATATCTATAAAAACAAAATCATTTCTGTTTTCTTGGTTGCTTATTTCCAGTCAAGCTCAGGTTTGTAACAAGGAGAAAAAGAAACTAGTAGAGTTTTTGTGAAGAAGTGGGTACTATCAAGTAGAAAGGGATAAACAGATGTCCACATTGTAAGGTCAAGTCAGGTGTGAAATGGAAGCCAGGTTAAGACTGCAGGTGAAGAGCCGCCCAGAGCAAAGGGCCAACAAGACTCACTGCATCTCGAGCACTCAAGACACTCTCCGCTGCTGCCAGCTGTTTTGTTCTTTTATTTTGGTGCTAGCATTTAAAGTGGAAGGTCGACAAGCAGTCTCTGAAACCAGCAGGACTCAACTGAATTTTACCTCACTCGTTTACAAAGCAAAGAGCACCACGCCAATCATGTGATCCTGATCAACTAGAACAAAGGTTGGCAACTTTTTCTGTAAAGGCTAGCTAATAAGTATTTTTGGTTTTACAAGCCATACAGACTGGTACAAACTACACAATTCTGCCACTGTAATATGAAAGCTGCCACAGACACCACCTAGAAGAATGGGCTTGACTGCTTTCCAATAAAACTTTATTGTGTAGTCTATGACACTTTAATGTGTGACACCAGTTTTCATGAACACGATATATATATACATATATCATGTTTTATATAGAGAAAGAAAGAGCTAGAGCAAGAAAGAGGGAGCAAGAGTGTGTCAGTATTTACTGGTCTTCTTTCCTCAACAACTGACTGAACAGTCTCTGAGGTTAGGAAAGCTGTAAGATAATTCTTATATATTCATACTCTTAACAATGAGATATGCAATGAAAACTATAAAGCTATAGAGAGCAATCTATATTGGGATAATGAGCTTCTCGGGAATACTTAAAAGAGTTAAGGCTTATAAATCAGATTTGGATAAAATCTGGCATGAGAAACAGAATTTAAAGTTTCTAACTTGTCACCCTTTTACAGTACCTTACAAAAGCACTTGTAGCTAATATGAGGAATGAGAGATATACCAAAAAATTTCCAAAAAAATTATGAGGAACAGTATTGCTCCCCCACCAAATAACACAGAAAATAAAAAATGGAGAAAACACAAAATATTGCCAATTTTAATTATCTATGGAAATAACAAAAAGAGTATATTCAAATTTCAGTAGGTATTAATTAGTTCCAACTATGCTAAGGGAATCTTTTGCCAGGATCAACTAAGTAGCGAAATGATCTTTAATTCCATCTTCACCCCTTCTACATAAAAAGATAGACATATTTCATCTAAATTTATACTCAATCCAAGAAGTGAGGTACTACCAAAGATATGAGTAACATGTTGAATGCTGGGTCTTTATTAATTTATTAACAGTCAATAGGCCACAATATATTCATTTCTATGTTAAACAGCATTATTACTTAGCTCTGAGTATATTACAATATAGCAATTATTCTGTGTCCAAATCTGAAAGCTTACAAGTTGTCTATGAAACATTTCTTAAACAGAACAAAACCCACTTTGCCTCTTCCATCTCCCCTCCCCAGAATGATAAAACTCTTGTAGGCAGGGACAGTACCTATCTTGTTCACTGCTATTATATCTCTGGCATCTTAACAAAGAGCAAAAGTTCAAAAAAATTTTCTTGAGTATGAAATCTTAATAAGTTTCTTATTAAAGAACATTAGGGTTTCTACTGTATATTTCATGAGAATGATAAACATAAAGATCATACAAATGATACCTATTTATATTGATAACTATACAGAAGAAGCTAAACACACTCATAGAAACTCAGAGAAGGAGGAACAATGAAAGAAGGACATTTCAAAAATCACTATATAACTTTATAATAATTTAAAGTTTACACAGTGCAATCCTGCTGTTCTCAGTAAGCAGTTCTGTTTTACCTTTCCTGGGATGAAGCAACAGAGATTGGAGTCCACATACTTCATGAAAGTCATATTTAGCAGTGACAGCCTTGTTTCAACAGCAGCAAGGATGTCTGCATGACGAGCTAATGAATGGTTTCTTCTTTCCGACTCTCTCCTATAATAAAAAAGGGCAACTATTAAAGTTGTACTGTGGACTAAAATGCTAACCAATAAAAATGCCTTAATGAAACAGTCTAACTTTTATGTGTTAACCTAAAGTCTACAACTGGGCCATAATCTCATGATGAATAATCACTATACCCAGAAATTCTTGCCAAGGCCTGGTAACACATTTGGAAAAAAATTTATTTGAAAAAACTAGGTGTTTTTGTTTGTTTTTTGGCTGTATCAAGCCTAATGCTATTAAAATTTGAGAAAATAAATGAAAGTTACACATGGATATATGTACGACATCTTTTTTCTTGTAAAATCAGCACCTTTAGATTTGTTTAAACAGCTTTATTGAGATATAATTACCATATCGAAAAATTCACCCTTTTAAGTATACATTTCGGTGTTTTTAGTTACTCAGAGTTGTATAGCCATCATCACTACCTAATTTCAGAGCATTTTCATCATCCCCAAAAGAAACCTATCAGCAGTCTCTTTCATTCTCCCAGCCCCTGGTAACCACTGACCTAATTTCTGCTTCTATGGATCTGCCTATTCTGGACAGTTTTATATAAATGGAATCATATAGTATGTGGCCTTTTGTGCATAGTTTTTAAGGTTCATTCATGCTGTACTATCTATCAGTATTTCATCTTTATTGCCAAGTAAGATTCCATTGTATAGACGTACTACGTTTTATCCATTCATCAGTAGATGAACACCTGGTTTGTTTCCCCTTTTTGCCTATTATGAATAAAGCACTGTGAACATTCATACACCAGTTTCTGTGCAGACATATACTTTCATTTCTCTTGGATACACACCTAGGAATGAAACTGCTGAGTCATAAGATAACTCTATTTTTAACTTTCTGAGGAACTGCCAAACTGTCTTCCAAAGTGGCTGCACCATTTTACAATCCCACCAGCAATGTACCAAAAACCAAACCCACTGCCACTGAGTCGATTCCGACTCATAGCAATCCTATAGGACAGAGCAGAACTGCCCTATAGTTTCCAAGGAGCGTCTGGTGGATTCAAACTGCTGATCTTTTGGTTAGCAGCCATAGCACTTAACTATCATGGCACGAGGGTTTCCCAGCAATGTACAAGAGTTCCAATTTCTCCACATCCTTCCCAACTTTTGTTATTGTCTTTTTTATTTTAGCCATCCTAACGCGTGTGAGGAAACCCTAGTGGCGTAGTGGTTAATGTTACAGCTGCTAACCAAAAGGTTCGAATCCACCAGGCGTTCCTTGGAAACTCTGTGGGGCAGTTCTACTCTGTCCTATAGGGTCGCTATGAGTTGGAATCAACTCGACAGCAACAGGTTTGGAGAAATGCCTGTTCAAATCCTTTGTTCATTTTTAAATTGGATATTTGTCTTTTATTGTTGAGCTGTAAGACTTCTTTAAATATTGTGGATTAAAGTCTTTTGTCAGACATGATTTGCAAACATTTTCTCCCATTCTGTGGGCTATTTCTTCACTTTTTTGGTGGTGTCCTTTGAAACACAAAACTTTTAATTTTGATGAAGTCCAATTTGTTTTCCCATCGCCTGACCTATGGACCTTGGGACACAAGCCTGCAGAAGTCTCCAATCCGCTGCCTGACTTACAGATTTTGGACTTGACAGCCCCCAGGTTTCCATGAGTCAGCAGGAACCTCCAGCCTCCTGCCTGAACTACGGATTTTGGGCTTGCCAGCCCCCAGGATTGAGTGAGCCAATATCCTGAAGTAAATGTCTCTTTCTATATATATACATATATACACACGCGCACACACACACACACACACACACATATATACCCGTTGTTGTCGAGTCAATTCTGACTCATAGCGACCCTATAGGACAGAGTAGAACTGCCCCACAGGGTTTCCAAGGAGTGGCTGGTGGATTCGAACTGCTGACCTTTTGGTTAGCAGCCATAGCTCTTAACCACTGTGCCACCAGGGCTCCACCACGGCACCAGTAAAACCTGTGAAAGCCAGAACCTGTGTAACGCAGAAACCTGTCAAAGAAGGAAAACTCAAATATTTTCTACTAAGTAAGACTCTGACAGAAAAGTGGTGACTGGACCCCATCAAAGGCAGAAAACTTGAGAGACTCAGAAAAACAAGGCAGTCCCATCGAGTTCCAGCTCTCACAGGTTTCACTGTGTACACACACACACACGAACATGGGATGTCTTTCCATGTAAGCTTTCTTTAGTTACTTTCAATGATATTTTGTAGTTTTCAGTATACAGGTCTTGTACTTCTTTTGTTATATTTGCTCCTAAGCATTTTATTCTTTTTGATGTGATTGTAAATGGAAATGTCTTCATTTTTCAGATTGTTCACTGCTAGTGTATAGAAATACAATTTCTGTATATTCTGTATCCTTGCTGAATTCATTAATTCTAATTAGTGGATTCCTTAGGATCTTCTATATGAATGATCATGTCATTTGTAAATACAGCTTTACTTCTTCCTTCCCAATGTGGATGCCTTTTTCTTCATTTTCTTGCCTAATATCCCGCGCTAGCATCTCTAGGACAATGATGAACAGAAGTGGTGAGAGTGGACAAACCATAGTAGAAATTACTGACTGTGATCTGTGTACTCTTTGCTACAAAAACCTGGAAATCATTTAACATGCTGCACTAATCAGGAGGCAAAGTGGGTAAACCACACCTTCGTTGCCAACAGCCTGGTAAGGATCACGTGAACCCAATCCCCAGAATTCCCACCTCTCCATCCTTGTTGCCAGCTGCCTGAGTGGCACTCTGACTCCAGCCACCTGGAGGTGGGCCTGAGCTCACAAGTTAGAAGGAAACCTTCTTGCAGAACAGCTGTCCATGTGGCATTTCTCTGACCCTAGCCACTCAGAGCTGGGACAGAGCTGACAAGTTAAAAGGACAGTCCTTCAAACTGCAAAATGGGCAGACGCCAGCCCCTACTAGCTCTCACTGCCCCTTTGGTTCGATAATTTGCTGGAATGACTCACAGAACTCATGGAGCATATACCATACTTACAGATTTATTAAAACCAAAAGGGATACCAAGAGATGCATAGAGCAAGGTCTGGGAGGGTTCCCAGCACGGAGCTTCCACATCCCAAGGAGGAACACACTACCTTCTCCCGTGCCTGGTCACCTACCAGGAGCTCTTCTGTGCCTTAGGGTTCCAGGCTCTTGCTGGCCTCCCCACCTGGCCATGAGAGACTACATCATGCCTCCTGAAGCTTAGTCAACATTATCTGAGCCCCTGGGTGGTCCCTCTTGGTCTGGTCAGCCCCCAGATTTAGCCTCTGATTTCATCTGGCTCTCAGGGACCAAGACCAAAGGTCAAATTGCTTTTCTTCAGGTAGTTTATCACCTCACAGGAGCCCTGGTGGCTCAGTGATTAAGCGCTCGGCTGATAACCGAAAGGTCGGAGGTTCAAACCCAGCAGCTGCCCCTCGGGAGAAAGATGTGGCAGTATGCTTCCACAAAGATTACAGGCTTGGAAACCTAATGGAGCAGTTCTACCCTGTCCTCTAGGGTTGCTATGAGACAGAATCGACTCAATGGCAAGGGGTTTAGTGTCACCTCACACATGTAATTCACTAAGTTTTAAAATAATCGAGAAACAAATAAAACTCCCAACTGTAAAGTACTGCCACTGCTAGCCATAACATACCTTGGGAGTTGTGCTTTAACTTGTTTCTGACATAGATTATGGTACCTCTCCACCTTCAGAAATCCCTGATTCAACATTCTCTGGCAAACCAAGTCCATTCTCTTACAAACCTATGGGGAGAGATAAGAAAGAATAAGAAAACTGATAATCAAATTAATAAAAGACAATTAACTTAGACTCATGACTGATTGCTGAAAGTCCTCTGTGTTAGTATTGTTCCCCAGTTTGCTGTCTGAATCTGAATCAGTATGTGTGGGTGATTCCCTCATACAATGCAACTCTTGCAATATTGCATTAAGAAATTACTCTTGCCTACACATAATATTACCATTTACTTCAGGTATTTGCTGAATGTTCTGAATGTATCCCCACTATTATGGTCAGAAATTGTAGTCCTGAAGAGCAACGAAAGAACGTATGTGAAGGTTCTTAAGAATCTGAAACAAAAATTCCCTTTTAGGCAAAAATGTATATTCTAACTTGGGGCCAAACTCTCACAAAGTTTGTATCATCAATAATCAGAACAATAATTCCTATTTATTTCTTCTAGTGATTTAGGTTAACCATGGTGGGTTTATAATGGCCAAGGCCCCATGCTAGGTACTGTCACACCCTCCAAAACATCCTCATGTGTAGCAGATCCTCAACACTTTGAATCCTTAAGGAATACAGTCTTTATACAGTAAAGAAACAGTATCAGAAGTCAGAACATCTAAATCTGAGTCCATTTTGTACGCATTCTTGAACATGACAGCTAACTGGAAGCCTTAGCCAGCCATCTGTAAAATGGAGATAAGATCTAACTCATAGGGATATCATTAGGATTAAATGAAACAATACATGCTAAATTACTTAATTTAAAAGTGCTACATAAAAATTATGTTAGTTAAATAAATCTTAACACAGCATTTATTTGAAAACTTTGCTCCGTATACTTGTCATATTTCTGAGATATTCCAGCTTCTTTCTTGTCTCAGTTAAATCTAGTACATAAGATATATTTTTTTGACCCCTGAGAATTTTGCAGTGACTCAGTCATGAACCTGAACATTATTCTCACTGTATGGAGGTGTGGATGCTGAAAGTGCAAGACACTGAGATGAATCTATATTAAGGCCAAGTTAATTAGGCAGGGCTGTCTCACGTTTCTTTCTCTCTCAGCACTCAAGCACAAACGCTTGACAAATATGTGCTGAAATGAAATGTTGACGAAACTCTTGATGTAAGTTTGCTGTCTCCTGAGAATATAGTGACAAAAATTCTGGCAAATTGGATTAAAGCTAATGAAGGTTTTAATATTATAGTATTAAATACTAGATACTTCCTAAATCAAAGCATGTCAAATTGAAGATATTAAGGCAAAAAAAAATATAATAAATCTTAAGTAGGGATACTAAGGTATCTTCTATGAAGTGATATTTTAAAACGTGGTGAGTACTATTTTTAACTAAACTAAAGCAGTCATCAACATCTGTTGTGTTCAATGCAAAAAATATAGTAAACCCAATACATACTAACATAAACAACTTTTTAAAATGAGAAATATTTCTTTTCCAAAACAAAATATTTAGCAAGTGGCATTATTTTACATTTTCTTAAGTCGCTTTGATATGTGGCTTAATAGAAGACAGCTGAATTCTAATATCTGCTTCTGCATTCAATCTGCTAAGTTATTATTACCTTAGAAAATTCTAGGAAACAAGAACACACAAGCATTAGCTCTCAGTATAATGATGTCGTCATATGTCACAGTCTCTAGAAAACTCCACTGTACGCTTGTTAAAAAAAAATGAGCGTGAAAAAGGCAAAAACATCTCAGTATTGTAATGAAAATATTTTAGACCTCATGAACCCCCTGAGGGGTCTTGGGAACCCCCCTGGCATCCCCAGACCACATGGTCCAATGCTGAATAACCACATCGCCAGAAACACCAGTATTTAACTTCCCGTAAGGAAAAAATAAACTCTTACTGTATTATTGGAGGAGGGAAAAGAGTGTGTCTGTATGCGTGATGAGGGTAGAGTAGACTGAGAGAGGGCTAAATTCTCCTCTTTCATAGTAGAAACTCAACAGATAATAAAAATAGAAGAAAGAACTGCCAAAAGATTTGAAAGTGGTTGCCTTTGGGGAAGAAGAGTTTGCGGTTATAAGAACTATATTTTTGCTGTTGTTAAAATTATTTGACATTTTAAGTCATCTAGATCCCTGGTGGCGCAGTGGTTAAGAGCTCAGCTGCTAACCAAAAGGTTGGCAGTTCAAATCTACCAGCCGCTCTCTGGAAACCCTATGGGGCAGTTCTACTCTGTCCTATAGGGTTGCTCTGAGTCGGAATTGACTTGACAGCAACGGGTTCGGTTTTTTCTTTTAATAGCTATATATTGCCAATTAAGAAAACAAAACAAAACAAAACTGAGGCACCCTCCCCCTTACAGAATCTTACAGAAAGACACTATCTTTGCAGACTCCACAGTCTCAATGACAATTTCTGAGATAAAATATTGGAAATTTTTTGGCAGCAGTATATTTACAAAGAAAAAAATTAAGGTGGAATACTACTGTCAATAACTTCCATGGTACTGTCTAAATTATTTTATTATACTAGAATTTTGCTGCACTGAATCCAGCTGACTGCTAGGATTTAGTTATCTTTTAATAATCTAGAAACTCAAGTGAATATCTGAGTAATGACTAGATACAAGGACTGACTAGAGCTGAGACTATGAATAAATACCACCACCACCAACAAAAACAAAGAACACCTCAAACCCACTGCTGTCAAGCCATTTCCGACTCATGGTGACTGGTGTGTTACAGAGTAGAACTGCTCCATAGGGTTTTCTTGGCTGTAATCTTTATGGAAGTAGACTGTCAGGCCTTTCTTCCAAGGTGCTGATGGGTGGGTTTGAACCACTAATCTTTAGGTTTGTGGCTGAAAGCAAACCATTTACACCATCCAGGGACCTGAATAAATAACCAGATAAGGTCAAACCAAGTAAGACTTCATTCACATGATACAAGATTCGAATTACTCTGAAAGGAGGGTGGGTGGGGGCTGCTAAATGAGAGGTAACGGCATATGCAAAGGCACAAAGTCTGGAATAGACAAACCATTAGTAAGCAAACTACTTTTAGAGATATTTAGATGTGTGGGCAAAGATGAGAGGAGCAAAAACTTCCATGTTTTGAGCAGGGGGAATCAGGTGGTAATGAGAAATTACTTTTAAACGACCACAAAATTTTTTAAAGATTTGGTTTTAGGACAGTTAATCGGTCATTTTCTATAATCAACTGTAACATTAGTACTAAAGCTATGGTTCTGGAAACTTCACATGGAGATAGTTGAAATCACTGTAAATGAACCCTAAATGAAGAAAAAGAAAGGCTTGTAAATGGAACCTCAGCTGACATTTAATAGTTGAAAGCTGGTAAAAAGACCAGGAAGTAGGAGGTCACGAAGACAGAAAAATCAGAATAGCACCACAAAAGCCAAAATGAAAAAGATTGTCAGAAATCAATATTGTAAGACAAGAACAGTATTTATGTGGCACTTTTCTTTTCCTGAATGTTCAATAAGAACAGACTGACTGATACCACAAAAACGCAAGGACACACATACATCTTTCCTTAAGGATTCAGAAAGCAGCAAAGTGACCTCTGGAAAACAGAAATGTACTGATTTTCCCCAAGGCAAGCAGTTTAATGAGAATTGCTGACAACATATGCTAACTTGTAAGGCAAAATTATCTCATTTAAAGTGTAGCTCTAAATCTAGGGCTATTTTAATAATTTCCCAAGACTTCTCAAGGGAAGATATTTTGTTTCCCCAGTTATTAAAACAAGATAAAAATCCTAACAATTTGGCAATTTACCCAAGACAGTAAAATAAAATTTTGGAGCCTAATACACAAAGACGACTATGTCAAAAGCTCTGAGTGGAGGGACCAGGAAAACTGCATACTATGAAAGCAGAAGGGAACTAATGGAATAGATGACTCTACAATCAAGACATTTAGCTTGGGCTAAAGGCTGTTCAAGTGTAGGGGAATAGATGTGGGTTTTGTTAGTGTGCTAATTACTTCGGAATTTAAAATGCCATGATTTATCCTTCTTATCATATTCTAGCTTAAGTAATCAGTAATACATTTTTTTCTTCACTTGTATTTGTTTAGAAATCTATTTAGATTTGTTGTGCCACCATGGCCCTTCTTGACAAAGCAAGACACACAGGTCATAAATTCGTGAAACCCACAATTTTCCTGTTAAATCTAATCTTTAATATCAAATTTTAATTGATTCTAAGATGCACATTTTTTTCATATTTGAACACTTCCAACAGCAGGATGGTCTCATAATAGATGGTGTATTACAACTATAATTGGCAGCATTATTTTCTCAGATGCCTTGAAAAATATCGTATGCTGGATTTTGATTTTGTGTAAAATGCTGCAGAGACTTTAAGACATGCTATCAATTAAAAAAAAAAGCTCTTCTAAAAAAGAAGCACTGCCACAGTAACACACATGCAGTTGACCAACATGCATTCTGATTTCAAAAATGTTAAACTATGACAATATTTATATCTTAGAATCAAGGAAATATTATAATGGTACCACATTTTAAAAATGTATTCATTTGGTACGCTACAGTTCTCAAATGAATTGAACATTTGATGTTTTCTTCCATATAATTCAGAAGCTATTATCAAAGATCTGGCTGCTTATCAAACCCCTGAACTGAAAGGAACTTAAAAGACACCAGAATCTATCCTTTCCTCTTACCGTAAGAAACCTGAGATCTGAAGAAATTACGTGACTCGTCCAAGGTCATTCAGCTATTCAATGACAAAAGTGAAATTAAGAATCCAGGTCTGCTAATTTATGCCTTTTTTTTCACTTGGTGATTGCAGCTATACAGATTTAAGTAATTATCCTAATTATTCTCAACTGATTAGTCTGTACTGCTACAGAAACTGCTGGCACCAGTCTAGAAAGCAGGATTCTTAAGGCGATATGGGATTTTAAGGACGTTTACAGGGATTCTCACTACACTGCTAAAATTTGTTAAGAAACGGAGCTGGACCAAGATCTTCCTGTTAATTCTTCCAAAGAG